CATTTCTTGAAATATAGCCTACAGAACTTAACTGCTTGCATTAATTTTTTTTAGTTCTTCAGTGTTTCTTGACTCTACCTTTAATTATGTTTGATGGGTTTTTTTTTTCTCATCCTGCAGCAGAACTACGAGAAGAAATTATTCTGAGTGAACCAGCTCCTCCAACTCCCTCCCCAGTGCCATTCTCCCCAGCTAAATCTGCCACCTCAGTGGAAGTGCCCTCTGCCCCCTCGCCCGTCAACAATCAGTCCCCAGAGTACGGTGTCATAGCAGCTACAACAGGTAGGTAGGCTTATGGTAGCTGGATCTGCTTGAAGGTAGCTTTTGCACTCAGTCACCTGAAATTGAGCCTGAGAATGTGATATGCTAGTTTTCAAGAGATGAGAAGCCTTTCCAAACATAAATCTGTTTACAGAATCAGTTATGCCTCCTCATTGTATTCAAAGATGATGTGCAATCTAATAGGAAAAAGATCTGTTGTTTGGAGCCCAAAGGCCTTGACAGGAGATCCCAGACCTCAGCATATCAGAATCTGTTCAGTAGCTGAGGCCTTCAGAAGAGCAGACGTGTCACTTTATTTCTAAATGTTTTTAAGAATCAGTCCAATTTTTCATATTTCTAGCAATGTGCCAAAATAATTATTTATGAATGTAGCACTTCTGAGCATCTTCAATTACTTTAAGGGCAATCAGGCTCTCTGAAAAATTTTATATAGTTCAAGGAAATGTGACAGATATTTTAAGTTTTAGTGAGGTTTTCAAAATCCTGAACTATTTATTGGTGGTTCAGGAATTCCTAGTGGGTAAAATGGGAATTGGATATCTTTCAACATATTTGAGACCCAAATATATTTAAATACCCACACAAGTTTCTCTTGGGAATGTTTTACACATTATTGATACCTTTCATCTTTCAATGTTAGAGACTAGGAATTACATGTCTGAAGCCTATTTTCAGTTGCATACTCTATTATGGCAACCCATGAGGTACTTGTATTATGGTGGGCCCACAGAATAAAAAACCTGTGCTTAAAGATATTCAATATGTGGGCAGGATTGTCAGAAAACAGTAAGCACAAAATTGGCTTCGTGTTTGTTTTGTATAAATGAGCAACCATCCTCTATACTCTAATGTATAACTCAATCATTGCCTTTTGGATAGGGTCAGGACAGTCTTTCTGTATGATCAAAACCCAGTATTTTCTTAACTCATGGAAAAAAAAGGCAGAAATATGAAGGACATTCAGAAGGCATTCCAGACAGCGAAATTCCAGCTTTGCTGCTCCTCAGTGAAATGGATGTATAAGCAGAATGTGGAAACCATCACTTTTGTGACGTACTAGAAAAGTTACAAAACCTTCTTGAAAGAATGTCAGAAAGTGATGATTTACCACACTGGAGAATTTGGCAGTGGCTAAAGGACTAATAAATCTTCCTGTCAAATGTTTTCCGTGTTTTCAAAGGCGCCACAGGGACACACAATGCATAGTTCTAGTGGAAAGAGATTTAAGAACATTTGTCCCTACATTGAAACATAAGGTTTTCTCACTGTTGGAGACTACCATACTAAAGAGAGAAATAGGATGGTATTACCCCCAGAACAGTTAGGCAAGAGACACATGATTCTTAGACCTGGCAGGTGAGCACACTGCTGTGGATCAGGCAGCACTGGTGTGTATATTTGAGTTTGGAAACACTGATTTTGTGGGTAACTTGCTTTGTAGACATTGTGGCCCAATGAGATTGTTGTGATGTTATAACCAGAACTGAGTATGATGCAGAACTGTGCCCAGAAGTAAAAGACTGAAAAGTAGGGAACTGTGTGTTTTCCAGTGGCACTGACATGAATGGAAATTTGAGGGACTTGTATTTAGGCTGCAGAGACTGTAATTCCATGTGACTATCATAACTATTAACCCAAAGCTTATTCCATATTTATATAATAGCCTATTTGTCAGCCCTCTGGGCTTCCACTGTCTGCTTACTTGACTTAGGTACTAGACTTAGGTGCAGATCTGGGCAGGCCGGGGAACTGCACAGATCTTGTATATCTCTCCTGAATCCCGCCAGTAATGCACACATTACAAAAGCAATTCCTTTTTGTTTTAATGTTGGTTATTATTTTATTATAGTCTGGTTTATTCTCTCACTCTCTAATTTTTTATGTCCTGGTAAAGCCAAGGTCTGCTACTTTGAAATTTCAAGCCAGAAACAGGATCATTTGGGAAACAATGGATGAAGGACCTACTCCTACAGTACAGGCAGTAGAACTTGACATAATTGTTCCCATAGCAGGACTTCTTAGGCAAGAATGCTATTTGTGATTATTTTAGCTCTCTTTTTTCCCCAGATTTTCATTTTTTGGTTATTTTAAAAAACTTTTGTTTGGTTGAATTGGATTCTATTCTTACAGTCTGGTGCAGTCGCACCTTTGCAAGTGTGAAAATTATTTTTGCCTAGCAGAAGCCCAATTTGTCAGTGCAAGTAGTGGTCTGTCAGTGCAAGATTAAATATAAGTATGTGGTTATTTCCTTGTCTTAATTTGGGCACTAAGTAATACCTCCATTTCCCATGTTCATCATGTAGATGAACTGATCACCTTTTTAGTTTGCTAACCATTATACCATGGAACGCAGGGTTCATTCAGATAAAGTAATACAAAATAATCACCATCTTCCAGCTATAGGAAATTGCTACACTTTAAAATAGGAGTGATGAAGATGTATTACGTATAATCAAACTATTCCATATACAGTTTTGTGGCATTAATATATACTTTGAAACAAGAATATCTGTTCTGGAAAGATATATTTAAAGTACACTCTTACTGATTTTCTTATGTGTGTTTTATGAGGTAAATGTAGAACTCTACAAATGCGTTGCAAATCTTGAGAACTAGTTCCATTGGTTACCACTAGCTCTCAGTTCCCCAATTTAAGGCATCATTACCTCTTTTTTGCTTGTGGCAATTAGCAATAAAAGTTAACTATTAAACTTGCATTTTAACCTTTTTGCCTTCAGACAGTGGTCAGCACAAACCCAGCAAATTAAACTGTTGTAATTACATAATACCAAGCAAAAGAAAGGTAAATCCTACTTCTAGCATTCTGTAGTACAGCATCTGGCATGGCTCAGCTAACATTTTATTTAAAACTTCTTAAGTTACTAAAAGTTTAAAAGGATGTAAAAGGATATTCAGTCCTTCCAGTTCCAAAGAGAAGGACTTCGAAGTGGTGGGGGACGAGAAGCTGAACATGAACCGGCAATGTGCACTTGCAGCCCAGAAGGCCAATAACTGTATCCTGGGCTGCATCAAGAGAAGTGTGGCCAGCAGGTTGAGGGAGGTGATTCTCCCCCTCTACTCCGCTCTCATAAGGCCCCACCTGGAGTGCTGTGTCCAGTTCTGGAGCCCCCAACACAAGAGAGACAGGGACCTGTTAGAATGAGTCCAGAGGAGGCCACAAGGATGATCCGAGGGCTGTTTTACAAGGGCAGGTTGTGATAGAATAAGGGGAAATGGGTTTAAACTGAAAGAGGGCAGGTTTAGATTAGATATTAGGAAGAAATTTTTTACTGTGAGGGTGGTGAGACTTTGAGCAACCTGGTCTGGTGGTAGGTGTCCCTGGCAGGGGGGTTGGAACTAGATGATCTTTAAGGTCCCTTCCAACCCTAACCATTCTATGATTCTATGATAATTAGGCTCTATCTTTTCTAAATCACAAAGGCCAGATTAATGATTTATCAAACTGCAACAGTATTGTAATAAAAGTGATAGCTATATGGCTGACTATGCTAGTCTCTCTTAAAGCCCCTCTTAAATCTGTGATTACTCATTTGCCAATGCAATATTTTTTTAGACAATCCAAAATGAACTCTGAACTGTAAAGTAGTTCCTAATATGTTAGTAAAGTAATCTATGCGTTTTACTGTTTAGTTTCAAGAAACGTATGAAATAATCTTCAGGTCAGCAATGGTCATTTAAGGTCACTGTTCCACCAAGTCTAGGCTAAGTATTGAAGTTCTGGTAATCTGGCACAGGAAATACTTGCACAGAGCTATCACCTCTCAGATTTCCAGGTTTTTTTTTCCTAAAGCTTCAGCTCCTGGACTCATATGAATATATGAGAATACCAGCTCTTGTTCAACAAACAGTTTAACTCTTATAGCTGCAGAGTGTAAAAATCAAAGGTTACAATTTCAAAAGGCAATTCTCCCCTTCCAAATGGAAGGGTTTGTGTTTTTTCTGAAGCTGATAGTTAAGAAAATCTCTTTGTTGTGTAGGGGTGGAATAGGGGTCTGACTCCAGATTTCTGATTGCTTGAGTTTGACTGCTTACTATCAGACATAATGCACAGTGTTGAGAGTTTCTCACTTGTACCTGGGCAGTAGAAATTTACTCCAGCATAAAGCAAGTATAAAATGCAGCATCATGAAGCATTCTGTTTCTTTCTATGCTGGTGTACATGATGGCACCAATGACAACAGGGCCACAGTTAGACTGAGAGCAGTTCCATTTATATTTGGCTCTCCTGCAGGTCAGATAGCCTCTGGGTTAGTATCCTCAAAATCAAATTTTTCGTTAAAAGAGAAAAGAAAAAGGAGTGATAATAAATGAACTTCCCTACTTTAATCAAACCCTGCATGTTCGGAACACAAAGCAGAGCAAAATGTTGCTCAATCACTATTGTTTCTGCTTATTTCAAAAAGCAGTTCAGTTGGGTTCAGTCATATCTAAAAGAGACTTCATCTCCTGGAGTTCAATTCTGCAGCCAGCTAAGGAAATTAATCATATAGGGCTGAGACATGGGCGAGTATTAAAAAGCTAACTACAAAAAACTTTCAGACTTATCTCATTCCTCCTTTTCCACCCACCACAATGTTGGCAGTATGCTGTCTGACTCAATATATACACACACACATCTGCAAATCTGTTGTCTTCTTCTGTTGTCTTCTGTGATTCTGTGATTCTTCTATCCTTCCTCTGTGTCTTTGTGACTAGGTCACTGAAAATAATGGCATCCCTTCCACAAAGGCAAAGAGAAATGAGGCAACTGTAGATTCCCAAGAACATCCTGAAAAATTAATTTGAACATCTCTCTGTCACTCTCTAAATCCAGAGTAAAACCCAACATACATCTGTCTCTAAACCATAACCTCCAAAAGAAAGTTAATATTTCCTAGAGCAGCTGTGTGAAGTACTATCCTGTAGTACTGGGGGCAATTCTTGGTTAGGAAAATTAAGCAAGGATATTCACAACTCTTCCAGTCCAGGACGTATTATGTGTATTTGTTTCAGTGTTGTCTGGACAGGCACAAAGCATGTGACACCCTAAACATTTATTTTAAAATTGAACTGAGGTAGCTGCCAGTTTGACTTGAATGCCAGGGGTGGCCAAGTCCTCATCCAAGGAGTCTGACTTCCCACATGAAACAACATGCTGTCCTGGACTGACTCATTTTCCTCAGATAAGATCCTTGCTATTTTTCAGAAAAAGAAAAGGAGGCTGTCACAATGGTTAGGGCCAGTCAAATTAACCATATGTGGTAAAATGCAAAGGATCTTTTGGGCCTGTTACTACCACTTCTTCTTAGAGCTAGGAAGGTAATGAAATTTTTGGCTCAGTGGTGAAATTTTTTCTTGAAAAAATAAAATCAGGTCCAAGTAAAACTTTTGTTTTATGGTGAATTTAAAAAGTGAAAAAGTGAAGAAAAAACCCCAGTAAAGTTTCCTAAAAATAAGTATTTGGGGTTTTTTTTTCACCATCTTTGTTGTCCTTCTTTCTTTTCTCTTTATTTTTGCCTTTTGAATTTAGGCCTGTTTTGAAACAAAGTTTCAGATTTTCTTTTGGAAAATAACACTAGGAAAATATGTTGACCTTTTGAAATTGAAATGTTTCACCAAAATATTCAGCAGACAAGTTGTTGATATTTTCAAAACAGTTTTTCTCTTGTTTTCAAATGAAATTATTTGGTGATCACATAAGTAGTTTTGGCCCCTTCCACATAAACTGCATTTTCTAGTGAAGGCAAGCTTCCTTAAACACTTTTCCTCAACTCAAGGAACCATGACTGCTCATAGCCACAGCAGCACTGATGTGCTAGCTCAAATGTGTATTCCTCCTCTTTGGTCTCAGAGATCTCAACGGTCCTCTTCAGCGAGAGGACATAAAAGACTGAAAATTCAAGAGTCGATGACAGAAACACATCCGAGGATGTCTCTACTGTAAGAGCACTAAATCACACTCTGTTGGAGTATTTCAAGCTGGACTTACCTTGTGAAGATCAGAACACCTTTGTTCACACCCAGAATTAAGCATTTCCCATTTCAAAAAAATATTTGTCTGATTTTGCCAAATAAAATCACACACACCTGAAAAAAATTGTGCACATCTGAGATAGGCTTTTCACTTCCCAGTTTCATGGAGTGGACACAGACCTGGTAATACAATTACTTCTGCCTCTGAATTAGGTCCTTTCATACTACAGGAAGTCCTAGAATCCACACTGAAAAAAACGAGTCACCTCCTGCAATTCCTTTTAGATACTGAAAAAGAGTCAAGAGTGCCCAAAGACCCCCAAACTAGTGTTCGCATTGGGTTAAATTCAGTGTTCTGGTCCTCATTTGCTGGGTAATCTCAGCCAGTCTGGTCATGACCTCCAGCAAGAGCTATGTTATACTGGAACAATGGATCTGTCAGCCTCCTGAGTGAAAGGGGTGTGTGCAAAGGACAAAGGTTTCTCAGCAGCTGGCTCATGAATCTGGAGTTCCTGCCTGGAAGGGATCAAGATGATTAAAAAACTCAGCACCTTCCAAGCAAAATGGAAAACCCACTTTTTTGCTTTGCTCTTCCCACAAATACTCTACATGAAAAAATAAATTAAGTCCAGTCCCTGCTGCCTTGGAAGAAGAAAGAAACATTATTTGCAGGAAGAAAACGGCTAGGCTATTTCTGCCTATATATTTGTTATAAATTGGAGATCTACCACTGTGTTGCCACTACAAAGGCTGGCACCTAGTTGGGTGGAAGAGATACAAACTCCAAAAAGATTCAAGGAATGCATTTGCATAACACTCATCTTTTTCTAATCCTTAATTGTTCTGATCATGCTTCCTGCCTTGCTCCAGGCATGATCAGCCTCAAAGCTAAACAGACCAGCAGCCCACTCTGTGTGAGAGAGACCTCCAGGTATGGTACATCATACCTAAGAAATATTAGCACTGGTGTTCCTCCATTCCTATGTCCTACCCCAGTGTTTCTGAAAAATTACAGCCTCAAATTACAATACAGCACTGAAAGTTCACAGTCTGAGTTATTCCAGATATGTCTCCTACCTCTGGATGTTTCCACAATCCAGCTGATCTATTTGTATTTGTATTTATGCCTCAGACATAACTGTTTTGTTCACTTTGATTGATGCTATTTCCATTATCAGTGCCTATTAGGTTGCTTTTCTGTAACCATCTCAAAGCACAACATATCTGTGAAGGACAGCCCATGTTAGCTGTATTCCTTTAATGCTTGTTTGTCTGCAGGAGCTATGCAATCCTATACCTGGTCACTCACCTACACTGTGACAACAGCTGCTGGGTCACCTGCTGAAAATTCCCAACAGCTGCCCTGCATGAGAAGTCCACATGTACCATCATCATCTGTCACACACCGGATACCTGTTTATCCCCACAGAGAAGAACACGGGTAAGTAATTTCCAAGTGTATTGGGGGTTTTTGTGATTTTTTTAAAAAAATTAACTTATGCTTTGGGGTTTTTTTTGGAAATGCAGTGAAATCTGTTTCTTGTTGTAGTAAGTCTATATTGCAAAGATGCTGATATCTCTATTCTTTGGCTGTTGTTATTGTTGTATGATTATGTCTCAATTTTATAATCTCATTTAATTCTATTTAAAAACACAGTAGGCTTGGAGAATATTTTATAAAAGAGAAGGCTTCAGTAAATTTCTGCTCTGATTCCTGTTTTCCTGTGCCATGCTCTATCCCAAAGGCTAGATATGCCCAAAGAACAACCTTACTGTACCATGTCTCAGGAGAGGTGATCCTTCTCCTCTGCTCAGCACTGCTGAGACCACGTTTGGAACACTGGATCTACTTCTGTGCTCCCCAGAACAAGACAGACAGAGGCATACTGGAGTTAAGTGCAGAAAAGGGCCACTTCTGAGATGATTACAGGACTGGAGTGTCTGTCATACAAAGAGAGGCTGAGAGAGCTGGGATTGTTTAGCATCAAGCAGAGAAGGCTCAGGGAGGGTCTTATCAATGTGTATAAATACCTGGTGCAGGATGTAAAGAAGATGGAGACAGATTCTTCTCAGTGGTATTTAATGACAGGACAAGAGGCTATGGGCACAAATACAAATACAAGAAATTCTGTTTAAACATAAAGAAACAAAAAACTTGTTTTACTGTGAGTGTGATCAAACACTGGAACAAGTTTCCCAGAAAGGCCATGGCATCTCCATCCTTGCTGATATACAAACCCATTCTGGACACGATCCTGGGCAGCCTGCTCTAGTGGACCCTGCTTTGAAGCAAGGAGGTTAGGCTAGACAACCTCCACACATCCCTTCCAAGCTCAATGATTCAATGATTCTATGACTACTGTCAGATCTGCAAATAAAAAATGTCCAAAGTTTGGAGAAATAGACACATTTTCGCCATAATATTCTAATCCCATCTCCATCACCAAAATTTGCTCAAGACTCTCAATGAAAATAATTACAGTAGAGATTTATATAACATTATTTCATCTTGGAAAACTTCAGAAATTCAAACTACGTCTCCCAGTGCTCTTTTTATCAAGCAACACTTCTGTGCCATTCTCATCTGAGTGAGAATATAACTCATACCTATAACTAGAAAGAAACAGTCTCAAAAGAACTGATGGAGAAGGGCCAGGCACATAGCAAGATTAGCCTATACTCAGATGCTGACATGATGCAAGAAGTTCAAAAGACTTTACTGAGCTCCTCAGTGTCACTGCATACTCATCAACCTTGCAGAAGTGCTTTCCCCATGTGGAAGACTGCATACTGTTTGGAAGGGTAACAGTAGATTAATCTCTTGGATGCAGTTAGGTTTGGATTTCTGTTTGAATGTCACTCCTAAGGCCTTACTGGAAAAACCTGGATATGGAGATACGGAACATCTCTCCTATCCAGCAATATGACTGCTTGGTGGAGGCAGAAATAGGGCAGCAAGGAGGTTCAGGAGTGAACAGGATGCAAGAATTGGAAGAGACCACAATAAGGCAGTGTATATATAATATATATGTGTTTATATGTGATAATTCATTGTTCCTAAAGAAATCTTTCCCCAAAGGAAACCTTTTAATCTAGGTGAATCAATTTTTCTGAAAGGCAACAAAGAATTCTATAATCTGACTTCTTTTGCCAGTTAGTTTTATGTGTGACACATGGATAGAAACATTTTGGAGATGCTCCTAAACATTTCGGTGATGCTCCTAAACATTTCAGTGACATCTGCCTTCTTGTATAAAATTGACTTTACAAGCTCATAAGGATATAGGGCCTCTGTTAATCTGTGTTTACATGGCTTTTATCACAAAGATTTCCTTATCTTATTTGCCCTCTATATAGTACTATCGAAATTTTTTTGATCCATTACAATTTGTACTTATTTTGGATCTACAGCAAAATCAACATATTGGTATTTCAGTTCTTATGTGATTTGAGTCTAATGTGACAGGCTATAGAGACATGTTCCTGAAGAAATGTGTGCAGGGAAATCCAGTGACCTCACCCATGGTGTTTTGAAGCACAAGTCTCATCGTATAGTTCTTATGGAAGTTACAGTCACATATTCAAGACAGAGTTTGTTTAAAAGCATTAAAGAAGTTTTCCTCAGAGAGGAAAACAAAAAAATAAGAGACCTTCTATGCAAAATTCAAACAGATGGCTGCCCTGGAAAGAAGGAAAAAGATCAAAGCCTGCACTAAGATATCCAGGTTTCTGGAGAAGCAAGAAATGGAGTGAGCAGCTGCTGTAGGCACAAAGAATGAGCCTCACTCCCATGCAGAGAGCACAACCAGTATGGTGCCCACGAGCCATTCCCCTGCTGCATTTCCCACCAAATGCAGACTCTGAGCCACCCAGCATACCTGAAAGTTTCCCAGCAGCAGTTCTGCTGGGGTTCCTACTGATCTTGCGCAATAAAGATGATGCTCTGTCAAATATAAAGGCTCCAAACTACCTTGACATAGAAGGAGAACACCTAAAAGATCAGAGTGCTTTATACCACAATATTGCACAATATAAAGACATTTAAGAACTGAAGCCTTGGAACAACATAAAGCCCTAGTAGTTCCCAAGAGTGAGACTGTTACAGGCTGAAATAGAAACTGTTGGATTGATTTGTACAAATACTTTATTTGTGCTTCTGGTCAGTTACAGAAAATAAAATATAAAAGTACAGTGATAAAAACTGCTCCCTGTAAAATAAAAATTGATCAAGGCCAAATGCATGTTACCAGAAATGAAGAAAGGGCTAAATTATCTGTTCCCCATTATTAAAACAAACCTTATAGCAAGCAAGACTAGTGTAGATTTGTGAAACTGGAGAAGTGCACGAGGTCTGTAATCTACTCTATTCCACTCCAGTAAATTTTCTTCTAAGTCCACAGTGGTACTCTCCACATGTGTGGAGTCTCAGGACTGTAAATGGAAGATCTGCGGTATTAATAGAAGAAAATACCCCTATATATCATTTGAATTTCCCCTGTTTCAACTTGTGTCTGTTGTCTCTCACCCTGTCACTGTACACCTCTGAGAAGAATTTGGCTCACTGTTGAACAATGAAGATGGACATAGGCCCTTATGCCCCGAAAATGATTTTGGAGGGGGTTCTCTGCTCTCATTTTGAAGCTGATGGTTTGCCTGGTGTAAGACATGACACAGTGTCTCTAGAATACCATCATAAAATCGAAAGAACGGTAGAAGTTTAAACTCTATCCAGTGTAAAAATTACATTGAAATTTCTGGGAAAAGTCTTTACAAATAACTATCTTCCTTTTGTCACAACGAATTGGTTACTCCGATTGTTTATTTACCATGGTTTGCTTTTTACCATGGTTTGCCTTTCATTTCAATAGCATATATTTTAAGAGCCTTTAAACTTCTGTGCTGAATTAGCATCAAATGTTTGCACAGCTACACAAAGACAGGGAGGTTGCAAAGTGTCCGTGCACCTTCTAGTGAATAGCCCAAATAATGGTGGCCAACAAACACTGACCCTGTGGTTTCTTATAGCTAAGGAAACTGCTCCCTCCTTTATCTGTGGCTGTCCCTAGACAAGGGGTTGTGATTAAAAAGAAGAAAGTAGGCAGGTTCTCCAGCTTCAAATCCCACTCTATTCCTGAGTCAGCTGTGCTAAAGCTGTTCGTTGTACACTTCAGACACAATTTAATACATCTCTCTCTCTCCCACAAAAGGAACATCTGACCCTAGTGCAAGGAGATAACCCAGCTCCTGGGTGTAGTTCTTTAAGTCAAATCTTACCATACTTCCCCAGCCTGGATAGCAATTTACTAGGAACTAGCAATTTACTATTTTATGGCAATAAAATAATAATAAAAGGGAAAGACACTTGCTCCTTAGAAAGTGCACAAATGAACCTGCCATTTAAAACTACTCAGAGAAACGTGCTGAGTCTCTCTATTTGTTGTGCTGAACATAATTTCACTGAGTAGCATCCGTGTCCCAGCTGAGCTGAGAAATATCTTTTTTTAAGGGTTATCTAAAATTTAATTCTCCTATGCAAAAACAGTGCAACTCTATGTCTAAAAAGTTATAGAATTATTAGTGGCAATACAATTACTATGCATACTAAATAGTGTTTTTAAATGGATTTTAGATACACAGGAAGTTACAACTACAGTAGCTATAGCAACCAGCATCCCCATGCAATGCAGAGTCAGTATCCATCCTTACCACATGATACTGCTATTTCTGGACCACTTCACTACTCAGCTTACCACAGAAGCTCTTCGCAGGTAAGTTGGGTTTATTACTTGACAATGCTTGCTGTACCATTTTAAGTAAAGTTGTGCTTGTAAATTTCTTATCAGCATTTTAGCTGCCTGAATCAATAAACTGTCATCAGTATAATCATTGATGCTCCCTAATTTTTTTATTTTCTAGTATTACCTAGATATTTTTTCATTCTAGTGGAGATTCTTTTATCAGAAATAGCTTTAGATTGTACTAAACTCTAAAATCCATCAGTCTGGATCATAGAAAGTGTTGCTATGTTAAGGAGTAACTGAAACAAAAATGAATATAATTAGTTGTATGTTTGTTTGCATTTGGAACAGGAAGAGATTCTTAACAAGAAATAGAAATGTTTTCATATAGATGAAAGAAGATGCAGAGACCATCATGAATTCTTCTGGGGCCTCTGCTTTTGAGAATATGTGTGTTTAGGAATTTGCCAAAAATGTGAGTTCTGAATACAGTTTGAATATCTTCAGGATGCCATTGCAAAGAAATTCTGTTTAATCTCTATGCCATAGTCTCCTACTATAATGATAAGAAATTATCTCAGTAAGTATTTCAGGACTTCAGCAATAGGTGCTTCCCCAGTGTAGGAAGCTGCTCTCTGGGCTCTCTGCCAGAAGATTTGCAAAAGGCAGGTACAGACAGCAGGTGTTGGTGTTGGGATATTCCACCCACATGGCACCTCTTATTCTTTATCTACTAGAAATTTATACAAGTATATTAGGGACCACTACTCTCATCAATGGACTGGAACAGTTTCATACCAGATGCACAGATGTGAATTTGAAAGTGCTTTGGACTAGAACACATGAAACCTGCATCTCATTCTGGTCGCTGGTATCAGTCTGCCAGGTGATCTCAGAGTAGTAATTTATCTTTTCTGCGCCTCACTTCCCCTAGCTGTAAGATTAGAATATGGTATTGATCTCCTTAAAGCTTTTGGAAATCTGCTGTTAAGATTGTCCTGTACAACCCAAATATGTGCATTTGGACCAGCTCAACAATGGCTCCCTAGCTTATGGAAAGAACTAGTCTACAACTTCTCACCTGTTTGTGTAGCATCTGGTCTATCAGACAGACTACCTGAGGTGTCAGGATTTGTTTGAGGGTTGTTGTGGCTGCTGTATCTTCACTAGGAACAGTGAGTGAACATTTAAGTACAGGGTGTCCTGTGACAGGTTTGTATCCATTGTTTTTTCAGTACAGGCCTTACCCTGTCATCTCAAAATTGTTTCCCAGAATGCACCACTTTCTGACTTAAAATTGGGTCACCAATTTTCTTTACTGTCTCTTATCCTTTACTGCAGAAAACCCACGAGTGCTGGTTCTGAAATGGACTGTAAGGTCATGAATCTGTATGTAAAATGGAGAATTAGGCTTTTACTGTTTAAAGATGCTATCACTGGCACAAGGATTTTCTTTCTACCCTCTGAGAACTGTCCTTGTCACACTGACATAGCCTAAGTTAAGCAAGAAATAAATAAAACAAAGTAAGATCAAGATGTCCTGGTTAGAGTAACATACATTAAAATAATGCAAATATTTTTCATACTGTAGTAGGCTGTCTCTACAAGTGTAGATGTCAGATCATTTCCTTTCTTGCCAGTCCTTGAACTCTCCTGGACACACACGAACAGCAGCTACGCTTTAATGATCACACTTCAGAGCAAAATGATTTCAACTTGTATGTAGTATATTATTTCTCCTGCTGGTTGTAAACTGAGATGGAATCTCACAGCAGGATGCAGCTAACAAAACCCTGTCAATGTGCTCATTCTGTATTGAAAGGAGCAACAAACTGAAACCCTACTTTCAAAAATAATCTAAAAGTCTTGAATGATTTTAATAATGAATTTGCTTGACATTCTTTTAAAGCCAAGTGAGCTTCTGTAAAATGCCTGCCTTGATGGTAAGTCCTTTCTTAGCTACTTTTAACCAACAAAAGTTCGTAATGTACTGTTTTCTGCAAAGCCTGATAAGATGTTAGGGAACTACTCTTTCTAGCAGACTTTCTAAGGGGAATATGGTGCAAGGAATTGCAGTAGGACTCATGACATTGCAAAGTCAAAATACTGGAAGGCAAATTTGCAATATCTGGCAATGTTTGCAACATATAAACAGCTGCCACTGTGCTGAAATCAGAGGAGATGCAATGTCTATGGCTGTAGTAATTTAATCAGTTGAGAAGAGGAGGCACTGACCATAACTCTTCAAAAGAACTCTTTGTTATAATCTACATTAAGTCCAAATATAGAACTCTGTCTCAGCTTTAGCTAATACCCTACCATGCTCTTCGGGATCGTGTCTAGGGATTAACTCCTGAGAAAAAAAAATCTGTGTGTGGGTTAAGCTCTCCTCTACAAACATGGAGTCAGAGAGAGCCCTTGTCTTAGACAGGGTGACATGTAATAGAGGTGGGTTTTAGGCTATAGCTATAAATTACTTTTTTGGTCTCAAAGAATGCCATGTCCAACCTCTTTGTGTGGAAGAGAACAACATACTCCAGATTTTATCATCAGGTCTGCTACTTTGAGGCTATTTTCCATCCCAGAGCAATGCATGTAAAGAAAAAACAGAGATTTGTGCTTGTTTTTTTGTTCGTTTGTTTAGTAGAACTTTAAGATGGATCATTACACAGATATAATTTACAGACCATCAACTAAAAAAGAGTGGAACTGGAGCAAAGTGGATGGAGGGAATAACTTTTATTTGGTGGAAATGCGCAACTGAAGAACTGGGAAAGGGAATGAGCGGCCCTTTAAGTTGTATTTGCCAACATGTAACATGTTGATCCCACTGACAATACAATGACAGTTGCATTGTATTAATTTTGGAATATCTGTTGTGGTTTTGTCATTGGAATCCTTACAGTGGGGCTGTGCTGGGGAAGAAGTCACACAGCTGTAGATCTCGTACTACGTACAGCTCTTGAAAAGTGCAGGGAGGGGTCCTAAGCCAAGTCTGTCTCACCTGACCAGTGGCAAGTCCATGTTAGTGAGAGGTTTCTGGATAATTTGAATCTCTCAGTGTTAGAGGAAATGAGACAGCAGTCGTTCCTAAGGCTGATACCACTGAAGCTCCATGTCACAGCTGCATGTTCAGTCACACCCCATCTCGTAACAGACTGCTGAGAGCCCTTGAGGTTATTGTTATCTCTCATCTCTGAGTGTCTTGGAGCTTACCTTGGCTCACAGAGAGATGTGGTAAGTCTTGTGATTTTGGGGTAAATAGAAATTTTTATAAATAGCTCATAGTTTCAGAAAGATCAGTGACTCTTGGATGGACAAGAATGCAAAAAAAAAAAAAAAAAAGGACGAGATGGCTTGTAAAAAACTTTATAGGGGAGTAAATGTTCTGCTGAAGTAATATCTACAGCTATTAACCCAGCATAAGCCTAAAACTGGCTCCTCCTGGCAGTATAGGCTGACTAATTCCCACTGATGGCTAAGAGTCTTTTTGTTGACAGGCACAGTCTCTTCAAACCTTGATCTTAATCAGAACTTTTTTTTTCTTTTTTTTTCATCAGCATCTCTGAATGGTTCTCAGAACAGCTCCTTCCTTGTAATTCCAGGCCTGATTGCTCATTTCTTGACTTGGCTTACTGGTCAGGAGCCTGGCACACAAATAAAGAAAAGTTATCTACAGATTGATTTGCTACTAACTAATTCTCTAAGCCACAGTACAGAGGTGCATGCAATCCTATGATGCTACGCCATCATCATTCAGAATGTGTGTACATAAACACATCTATACTGACTGACTTTACGTTTCATCAGTTCTTTGCCTCTGCAGTTTTAGGTACCAGATGACAGTGCAGAAAATAGACATCAACTTTGTCTAAAAGCCTCTGAGTGTTCCTATCAATGTATGTCAAGTTTAGCAGAGAGGTACCCCCTTCAAAGGTAACCCCTTCACAATGTCGCCACCTAATCCACCTCCACAATGTATGCTTGACTGGCTTTTGATCACAGCTTTTTTCTGCAAGTTTCACACTGGTTGGACAGGTCTGGATCCTTTTTCAGGCTATCCATAAATATTTCCATTCACAGCACTCCACCTCTTCCTTAAACACAAATAAATTCATACTGTAGTATTTTTCCTTTGTAAATCACAAGGATAACACTTTTAGTGCGAAGAGTAATTAGAGATACCTGCAGCAGTATGTATTTTTATATTTTGTTATATATGGTAACATATGAATGTGCATCACTGTATATGCAATACAAAAAAATGGCAAACATACAATATATCTGTAAGTACTCTAATGCATGGCTGTAGTGAATCATATTGCAGGTCCATTTATCCAGGTCCTATCTCCAGCAATGGCCAGAAATGAACGTGTGGAAGAAAAGTCTTAGAAACAGGGTAGGTAGAGAGTGGTCCTTTCACCAGCATAGACAGGCTGTGTTTGGCAAGAGCTGACCTAAGGACAGCCTGAATAGGAAGCAGCAGCTGGACTTTTGTATTTTGTAGCAAATTGCTCTGCATTACCCTATCTTTGAGCTTTTTTGCTCTTTGAGCTTTTTTGTACTTGTAGACTTAAAGACGGGTAGTATGAAACAAACATTCTCTTGCCTGCTATCACATAATTGCATTGGGTGCCCTATGTTTTTTAGATGATGAGGAATAGGGAATATTCATTCCCTCTTCACCTGCTCTTGCCATTTGAGGCATAGATCTGCATCATTCCTCCCACTCCTTTCCTTTCATCTCTTTCCTGGACTTAAGAGTTATCATCTGTTTAGTTTCTCCTGTGGTGGATGCTAGGACTGCAGGTGCACTGCAGGGCAGGCACAGTCTGGTGGGCATACGGATGTCCTGTTCTCTCAGTTGTGCTGAGCAGGGAAACTGCTGGAGCTGCAGCTCCCCTCCAGCCTTTCTGTGCAAACCTGATCTCAGAGTAGGTAGGAGAGATTCAGTCAAGAAGCAGCCACATCAGTTGCTTATATCTGGGGAGCACTCCTAGATCCCACACTGCATACAGCCTTATTTTACC